TGTCGACAAGACTTCTTGGGAAGCATTCTATATCCAATTTGAGCGCATATGTCATCGCTATGGCTGGTCCATTCGTAAAATGTTTGACAATATGTCCAGCTGCCTTCGAGAAACTACTCTTGAATACGCTAACCGTCTTGGTATCCGGAAATACCGGACTCTTGTAAAGGAAATGAGGCGTAGGTTCTCTAATCGTGAGGCCCCGGTAATTTCCCATAGGGAGCCTCAGTCCATTGGGCAGACTGACTCTGAGACCCATGATGAGTTTGCTCAAAGGGTCGAGTTTCTTACCTTAGGTGGCTATTACATGATAAATATGGAGACTATAAAACCAGATAGCTGTTGAGGCGTTTCATCGTGGCTGTAAGGAAAAGAAGCGGCAAAGACCACCATGGAGACGGGCTTGCACAAGGGCGTGAAGTATATGAAGGCTTCTCTGGCCATCGTGAGGGCTATTTTTGGGCAGAAAACTGTCTCGTATGCACACCGTCAAGTAACCTTTGAGGATTCAGATTTTGCAATTTGTGCAGCTTCCTCGCAACAGGATGTTATTGACCCTTCTCCGTTGCTTGTTCGTGAAGCTGAAGAAATATCTTTGGTTATTCCATTCAATGTGTTCGGAAAGGACACAGGCAGTATTGGATATCGCAGCAATTGTCAATTGCTTCGGCCAGTATACATCTTCACGACATAGAAAAGACATCAAATTAAAAGGTATAAATTCAGATTTGCGCAATTGTACAGTGTCCATAGGGCATGATGTCATATCTGTCACCCTAAAACACTCACATGGAAAGTCTAGTAAAGTCTGTAGAGTACCTGTCAAGAGAAACTACTCCATTCCAGCCAATTCATCTACCATAGTTGAGGTAACTATGGCCAGGTGTCTGGGTACATGATTTAGCTTCGGCACTTGCTGGGGTTCATAAATACGCCCAAGAACATCTGAGGATTAACCGAAGAAGCCATAAAAAGACGTACAATCAGAGAGTCCTTGGTCACAGAGAGAATTATCTACCAGTTGATCAGGACAATACTGATGCTGGTTCAAGGTCTCCCACACCCCTGCCGCTGCTTGACCAGGATGATGCTGGAAGAAAAATAAAGATTATATATATAATCAACGCACATACATTTTTAAACCGCACTGATTTTATTGCTCCACTAAAGACAATTCAATACTAACAGCACTTCAAAGTTGCTTTCTTCCAGGTGATTCAAGTATCGTCATTGATTTGGTCCATTCCTTTCAAACTTTCGCTTCTTATCTATATATTAAAAGTCTTATTTTTAATTTGTAGTAAAAATAAATGTGATACGAATTGAATTGCAACCCCGCCTCAAACCGATTAGGCTAACGGTACCACAGCCATTGAAAATGTTACTTGATAATCAAGATTATGTAGGTGGAGTAAACGCCTGTCAATCAAACAGTGAAGAGAGAGTTGACTCCTATTTCTAGTCAAAAATTACAATGGTGATAACTTTGCTCAGAATAAAGTAATTTGACTGAAATTTTCAATATATTCTTCTTAAATTACCCTTTTTTGAACTGTTATAGCAAGAATGGCCAACTTTCTATTAAAATCTCCCATAATGTATATTTAATAAATAGACGCAAGGAAGCCAACCACATCTACATTGGTAGAATGTTTGCACCATGTATAGTTTTTGCTGCACAAACTGAACTGACTATATATGACGTGATTATATAAAACAGGAGTTATGTGGTCGCATGTCTTAGTTAAAGTAACAAGTCTAGCTGCAGTATTCTGTACTTTTTGTAATTTATCTATAGGCTTTAAAGTTAAACCAACTAAAAGTGAATTAAAGTTATCTATTCCTATTTCTAGTCAAAAATTACAATGGTGATAACTTTGCTCAGAATAAAGTAATTTGACTGAAATTTTCAATATATTCTTCTTAAATTACCTTTTTTTGAACTGTTATAGCAAGAATGGCCAACTTTCTATTAAAATCTCCCATAATGTATATTTAATAAATAGACGCAAGGAAGCCAACCACATCTACATTGGTAGAATGTTTGCACCATGTATAGTTTTTGCTGCACAAACTGAACTGACTATATATGACGTGATTATATAAAACAGGAGTTATGTGGTCGCATGTCTTAGTTAAAGTAACAAGTCTAGCTGCAGTATTCTGTACTTTTTGTAATTTATCTATAGGCTTTAAAGTTAAACCAACTAAAAGTGAATTAAAGTTATCTATTCGAGAAGTGACCAGATAATTTACAAATGACATAATGGCCTCTACAGTTACAAAATGACATATTTTACCTATATTTCTGATATTAAAATGTTGTAGCACAATTTACAAATATTATTTACTTGAGCTCCCATAAGCATAAAACTATAAAAGATTGCGCTAATATTACGGGCAGAATAAGATGCATTGGCCGAGAAAGTTCATTCAAATTTTCCGGCGTGATTTCCCCTTGTCAGTGATGCAGGATGGAGGGCCTGACAAGGACAGCTGTCTAGTCGTTCGGATGGGCCGAAAAACCGAGGTCCCGTATACACATTGGCGTGCAGGTAAAAGATCCCTTGACAGTTGGAATTCGATATAAGAGTAGGCCGTAACGCCGCTGCCCGGGCAAAATTTTCTTCATAGCACACTGTATGGCGTATGCCCGACTTCATTAGCCTAGGTTAGAAGCAGAACAGTAGGACGTTAAACCCCATTTCATTTCTGCAGAATAAGATGAAAATATATCACAATGACCAATTACAACAGGGAGGTTATCATGTTCAAATTTACTTAATTGATGTCTTGAGCCTAATAACAAATATTCAGTTTTATCATCATTCAATTTTAGAAAGTTCTTGGACATCAGTTTTCGAATTTCACTAAAGCAGTTCTCAACTTGCAATTTTGATAAATTGAAGGAAGATGGACAATTAGGTGTAAATGAAATATATAATTAAGTTTCATCGGCATACAAATGAAAGCTGAGACCACATTTTCTTACAATATCAACTGATAGTGACTTTTAAAGGAACCCCATATGACAAAAAAGATTCAGAGGACAATTTACAATTAAATGAAATACACGTTTTTTTTTATACGCCCACATTTTCATGTGGACGTATATTGTCCTCGCCCCCGTCCGTCCATCCACAATTGTTTGTGAACACTCTAGAGGTCACAATTTTTATCCGATTTCAACAAAACTTGAAATATAGGTTTATCACCCTAAGGTCTCGGTTCCTTTCGATATTGGTATGTATCGGACTGTAACCTCATTGATTATGGCCCTTAAGAATTGTACGAAAAATCACGTGTTTAGCTTGTGAACACTGTAGAGGTCACAATTGTTATCCAATTTGGTTTAAACTTGAAATATATGTTTATAACCCAAAGATCTCAGTTCCTTTCGATATTCGTGCATATCGGACCATAACTTCCTGAATTATGGCCCCTGATTGTACGAAAAATCGCGTTTTTAGCTTGTGGACCCTATAGAGGTCGTAATTTTTATCCGATTTAAAAAAACGTATTATTATATCACCGTTATACCCTAAGGACGACTGAGTTCGAATTTCGTGAAAATCGGCCCAAAACTAACAGACAAAATGGCCGCTGTTCGTTCTCAAGTAGCGTAAAAATATGGTATATCAAAGTTGTGGACCCTATAGAGGTCACAATGTTTATCCGATTTTGTTGAAACTTAAAATGTAAGTTTATAACCCAAAGATCTTGGTTCCTTTCGATATTTGCGCATATCGCACCATAACTTCCTGAATTATGTCCCCTGATTGTACGAAAAATTGCTATTTTAGCTTGTGGGCCCTATAGAGGTCATAATTTTTATCCGATTTAAAAAAAAAACCGTATTATTATGTCACCGTTACACCCTAAGGACAGCTTAGTTCGAATTTAGTGAAAATCAGCCCAAAACTGACAGACAAAATGGCCGCCCCTCGTTCTCAAATAGCGTAAAAAAAAATATGGTATACGTCACCATTAGGAGATATTGTCAAGAAAATATGGTCTCAGCTTTCATTTGTATGCCGATGATACTCAATTATATATTTCATTTACACCTAATTGTCCATCTTCTTTCAATTTATCAAAATTGCAACTTGAGAACTGTATTAGTGAAATTAGAAAATGGATGTCAAAGAACTTTCTAAAATTGAATGATGATAAAACCGAATATTTGTTATTAGGCTCAAGGCATCAATTAAGTAAATCTGCACAAGATAACCCCCCTGTTGTAATTGGTAATTGTGATATATTTTCATCTTATTCTGCTCGTAATATTGGCGCTATCTTTGATAGTTTTATGCTGATGGGAGCTCAAGTAAATAATATTTGTAAATTGTGCTATTTTAATATTAGAAATATAGGTAAAATACGTAAATGTGTAACTGTAGAGGCCACTAAGTCACTTGTTAATTATCTGGCCCCGAGTTCACAAAGAAAAAAAATTCTCAGTTAATATTTCTGCTCAAAGTTGAGAATAATTCTCAAATTGAGAAAATTCTCAACTTTGGTGTTCACAAAAGCATTTGAGCAAATTCTTAAGTATATAAAATTTTACTCAACTTGAGTATTCCATTAACTGGCGTCATGGATTCCGTAAATCGCGTGCTGTAATTTCGTCATGTTATTTGTTTTCTATGCTACAAGCGACTGGAGTCGACTCTATTTATTAACCAATGAAATCGCTAGGAATGAAAACTATTTTTAGATACCGGTGTTTTACGTGGTAGAACGCATTAATATTAGCGGTTTTCAATAAGAAATGAATGGAATTGTAGAAATAACTTTATTATTATTATTTTACTTTATTTCCACTTGTCATTGAATAAATATTTATGAAAAAAATCGATTGAATTGTTGTTTTTATTCAATGAAAACTCCACTGAAAATGCTGCTTATAATTGGGTCAAGTGACCAATGACATTCGCCGTTTCGAAAAATGTAAACAAACCAATTCCAACGTCGTCTGCTACGCTTGGCACCAACTAAAAATGGAAGGCGATGGCAGGAAGAGGGCGGCTAATTGGTCAAACGCAGAGGAGATGGTTTTAATCGAGGAGTGTACAAAAAGGGAGGAGACTTTATTTGGGAAAATAAAGGGGTGTGGTGCATTGGGGAAAATTTCAAAACTGAAAGAAAATGGGTGGCAAGAGGTGGTTGATGCTCTGAATTCGTAAGTTTAGCTTCTAATAATTTAGACTAGGCTAGTGCATACAGCTAGATATATATCGGCACTCTTTTATTCACAAAAATAAAATCAATATTAAAAGTTCAACAATTTTAATCTTTATTAAAACGGTGATACTGACATACAATAATAAACCGAACACTAATAATAGTAGTGATAGAAATTATTATTAGATAAATATCACATTCACAGTCAAAATAGGCCTATAAATTACAATTTAGAAGTGTAACTAAATCTACCATTTAAATATTGTTTACTATTTCAGACAATTTATAACAAAAAAGAGGGAAATAGTAGAGGTAAAGAAGAAGTATCATAATATAAAACAAAGAAGTATGTCTAACTAACATTATGTTTCAGATTTAGATAAGGAGTTGACAGTTAAAAAAATAGATTTAAAACTATATAAAAAAATAAAAATGGAAAATCTTGAAAATTTCAGCCAAATCAATTCATGCCCCCTTAAAGCGTCAATGTAATGAAATTATTGTAGATTTAAAAATCATAAATATTTATAAATAATTGTACTATTATTAGCATAAATCTCCATTAAAATATCAGTCACTGAAAATTTATATTTTAACTTTTCAAGGTAAAGAAAAACTCGACCAGATGAAAAGGCCCAAAACAGGTGGGGGACCGAATCCAAGCTATACTGATGCTGAAGACCTACTTCTAAATACAATGGAGGGCAGACCCCAAATTGAAGGCCTTTCATTTGGTATTGATACAGATGGTAACTACTACAAATTACATACTAAAGTAATAACTAATCAATAGCTATATATATGTTATACTAGACACTTAAAACTTTAAAATAATCAGTAAACCCACAATAAAATATATTTTCCTATTTAGATCTACAGATACTACCACCGACACTACCACTAACATATCCTATAGAAATATTATTTGAAGGTAAAGTATAGAATTAATTATTGATCTATAATACATTCAATATACAAATTACACATAATGGAAAACTATTTAAATATCACTTAATTGATTAATTTCATAAATAGAATTTATTTTATTACCTAATAGATCATAAACCCTTATTCAAATTATTTACAGAACAAGCTACTGGTACATTTAAGGAAGATTCGGCAGATAAAACTAGTACGATAATGACACCAACACCAAAAAGGCAAAAAGGTACAATTCCTAATGCGTCAATTTACATGTCATGATAATTTCATAAAAAATAAAGACAAATACTATAATGTACCTTTATCTTTTACAGTTTGTAAAGGGTTAACACAGCTAGAAGAAGAAAACATAAGATTAGATAATGAAAGAATAAAATTAGAGATAGAAAAATTGAAACAACAAAGGAGAAATTTGGAAATAGAATATGAAATTCTGTGTATAAAAAGAAATAAATTAAATGAATGAAACAGTATCAATGCATTTGTTTTTATTAACAAGGCTTTTTATTCCGTTGACATAATTTGTGATTTTCTCTACTTCATTATGGCTGTATAAGAAGTTCGCCTCAACTAGCTGCCATTTACATGACATGTATATATGTCCCTTAATAAGTACATGTATAAATTATTATTCTAAAAATTACTGACTGTTATAAAAGTTTTAAATGAAACAGATTAAGCTTTCACCCCACTGAAATTTGTTGTAAGTACATGTCATGTACATTTGTTAATCTTTTAGAGGCATTTAGTAACTGGATAGAGTAATAAACTTTAACACATATTCATGGAAAGTAAAATTACTAATATAATATTTGAAGAGTATTCTCTAAAGATTATCAAGGAAATGCAGGAATACATAAGTAGATATTACATTTAATATGTACACCTATACTGAAACAATTATGAAAAAAATTTGGTAGCAATTTCATTACGTTTTTTTACTCCATCCAGTGTTATTATGCGGTTATAACTGGCAACAGCCTCATCACTTCCGTCATAATCTAAATCTAAAAAATCAACATCTGTAACTAAAACATCCCCCCTACCTATCCCAAGATTATGTAAAATTACACACGCAGTTATGTAAATGACAGCTTGCTGAGGAGAACTTCTTATGCCATAATGCAGTAGAGCAAATCTTCTTTTTAAAATTCCAAATGTTTGTTCAATTAAAACTCTTGTTCTGCATAAGCTGGTGTTAAAATTTTCTTCATGTCTGTTTGTTGGGTTTAAAAAAGGTGTCATTAAATAGGTTAAACATGGATATCCAGAATCCCCAAGCAATAGACCATTGTGAATACCTACAAAATAAATTTTTAAAATATAAATTAATATGACAGACAGATGATAGTTTACATGCGTCATGCTGATTTTTTTTTTTTAATTTCAAGGTCATCTACATGGGGAAATAAAAATCAATTTTAGCATGAACTGGGGTTTAATGGCTTATTTTCTTCTCCACAGGCCAAATGCAAATGTGCATGTCCCATACAGTGAGCCTTGAGGAAAATATTGCATGCACAAATGAGGTATTCTTTTGCGATTTCCTACTGTTGTTAGTGACGGGTCCTTTAAACAAGAGAGATATTGTGTCCCAAAAAGTGTGACGGATGGACAGACGAACCCATTTTAATACTCCCCTGCTTTTTTTAAATAATGTACGCTGACAATTTTATGTATGGGGGTCCTCGGTTTATCAGATAAACCAAACAACTACACACTTGCAATATAGACAAGAGGCCAATGCTAGGCTTGATCCAGGGACATCCTTGTTAGCGAGCCGGAAGCACACTGTCTATATACAGTCCATGCTAACACAAAATTTAAAGGCCGCATGACTCTATTTTTTGGAACCTTGAAATAGACAAAAATGGTTCTAAAAGCTCATATTAATGTAATATGAATGTATTTAAAATTTATAGTGATTTATATTCAATTTTTGAAGAAAATATATTGTAATTTATAATCAATTATGTTCGATGAAATACTTGAACTGTTCAAATTGAAATGCAGTCGTTTACGTCTGCTTAGTGCATTCTACACATTTTTTTTTTTGAATCGGCCTTTCTTCACTAATTACTTCAATATTTTGTTGTACGATATGTTTTTATTAGTTCATAACAAAATGGCAACCGAAACCATTGGGTACATGACTCGTGTACTGATTATAAAATGTTAATTGTGTCTTAAATATTGGATATTAGGGTCCTATAGTTTCACAGCAAGATAACAACATCAATAATGATTGAAATTGATCAATATTGAATTCTAATTTGTGTTTTTAATTTCGAATATTATGGAAAGTATTAAGTTAGAGACTTAGCTCCTTTACAGGTGATACATTTACTGTAGGTATCAGGCACTGTGATATTATTTCTTAGAAGTTATTATGTTTGCCAACCCTGCTGAAAGTCAATAACATAAATACAAAATATACATGTACATACCATTTTGAAATTGGTTATTCAATTCACACTGACGCCAAATCCTGCTGTCGTGAACTGATCCGGGCCAGTTAGCACACAACGAAGTTATTCTAAATTTGGGGTCACAAATCATCTATAAAAATAAAGTCACACTGTAGATTTTATGATCTAATACATTAATCATATTTCAAACTTGCTTAAATTAAATTCAAAAGTAATTATACAGGCATGATGCCAGGGCTAAATGCATATTGCATATCTTTCTTTTGGGCATTAAATGCTACATATAAATACATTAACATGACAAGACCATAATCAACTCTTGATGCCAACAGATGGATTCAATTCTAAGTAGATACTAGATTAGAATAGTTTGACCATTTAATGATATAATTAAAAACTGGAGAAATGATGCCAATACTTGAGTAACAAGTGGTTACTATCAATACTATTTCTAAAAATCATTAGCATTTATTTCTATATGATGCTCATCGGTACCTGTACATTGAGGGCATGTACTCCTTTTCTGTTGACAAAATCATTTTCATTTTTATTAGGTGTGGCAATTTTAATTTGAGTTCCGTCAACACAGCCAAGTACTTTCGGGAATCCTGAAAAACAAAGTTATAGACCTACTTGAATTATTGTTGTTTTCACTTTATTATTTATAATAAATAGATTATAATTTGTCGTGGTTTGCTTGAAATAAAATAAACTGTTCACAGATGAAGGCACGAATATGAACATTTTCTACTTGCAGTTTCACATTGTTAGTCTGGACTCTAATATTAGATTAGTAATATCTACAAAATGTCATGATTACTGACAGATTACGCAAATAATACATGAAAAGAGTTTGTATTTTGTAACAATCTATTTGAACATAATTGTATGTGTCATTGTGTAGTAGATTTATCAAAACACTTATCGTAAAATTCAGCGGTGTCAACAATCAAACATCGATAAACAAGCCTCTCGGTCGAATATGTCACACAACCAATGAAGGCCTTCGTTTGGTGGCGCTGTGGTATTTACAGTCCAGTTCACTGCAGACGAGGGTAAGTTGGGTGATTTAGCAATGGACTTGTCGGTGATGATATTTTTAGATTGCGGGTTATTATATATAATTGCGGCGGAGACGTGAAGGGGACACAAGACAAATAGTAAACACAGTGTACGTACCTGCAATTTTTCTGAACCCTTCCATAACACGCTTAGCATCTTCTCCGACGGGAAACTTTATCAAATGGATCAGATTCCGAATGATGGCCGAACAAACCCTCCGGATGCATCGGAAGGTTGTGGGGCGGGACACTCTCAGAGTGTCCGCAACCAATAACTGGAAAGCACCCGTTGCCAAAAACCTCAGGCAAATCAATACTTGCACCATAGGCAAAATAGCACAACTTCGCCTTGTGGGGGATTTAATACTTTCCCTTACCTGTTCTTCTATGAAAAGGATAGACCCCCGACGAAACCGAAAACGTTCAAAAAGCTCGTCATCCTCTAAACGGTTTAAGGGGTCATCCCTTTCATAGAAGACTCGAGGCCTAGGGAGTTGGCGTCGTCTCAAGCGTCTAAATCGTCGTACGGCGGCCATTCTACTTTAGACTTAAGTACGCTTAGCAGCTTTCTCAAATATTTAAGAAATTTCTCAAATATTTGAGAACTTTCTCAACTTTGAGAACAAAAATGTTCTCAAATTGTTTTGTGAACTCCATTTATTTTGAGAATTTTCGATTTGAGAAAATTCTCAAAATTGAGCATAGATTTGTACTTAAGTATGCTTTGTGAACTCGGGGCCAGGTCACTTCTCGTTTAGATAACTTTAATTCACTTTTAGTTGGTTTACCTTTAAAGCTTATAGATAAATTACGAAAAGTACAGAATACTGCGGCTAGACTTGTTACTTTAACTAAGAAATGTGACCACATAACTCCTGTTTTATATAATTTACACTGGTTACCTGTTAAATATCGAATTGATTTTAAGATTTTATTACTTACTTTTAAATGTTTAAATAATTTAGCTCCTGTTTACCTCTCAGATCTTTTAGAACTTTATACACCTGGCCGAACATTACGTACATCAGATAAACTACTTTTAAAGCCCAAAACTGTTCAACTAGTCTCTTATGGTCAGCGCTCTTTTAGTTATCAAGCACCTGTTTTATGGAATAATCTACCATTTAGTTTAAGATGCTGTACATCTCTATATTCTTTTAAAAAAACAACTTAAAACACATTTATTTAATCAGGCTTGTAACTGACTCTGTATACAATCGTTAACATGCACATAATCTTGTTGTCTATGTGTGATTTACATTGTCACTTTGTAAAGTGCCACTGAACATGTTATATGAAAGGGTGCACTATAAATATGCTGTAATAATAATAATAATAATAATAATTTTCATGCCGTTTGCATTGGCATGTATCACGGTCTTTAAGTGAAGGAGGTTTTACCCAGAAAGGGCGCAAATTACAAAAACTTGAGTATGAAACGCGGACGAAGGTATTTTCTGACATGAACTTGTTATAAAGATTCAACAAGGTATCCGTTAACAAACGGATTTGTTTCTTGTCCTTCTGTTTTGTGATTGTGTCCCGTTTTCCGGGCTTTATACGACTGACGTCATCCCTTTCATAAAAGGTAAGTATTATTTCTTTGTAAGTTCGTGGGATTCCAGGATTTCCCCGTTTCTTTACTGGGCCCACCTTCACTTGCAGCTGTCGTCTAGATATTTTTAGTTGTTTTCGTGCTTCATCAAGTAACCGGTACTTTGGCAGAACTTTTCCAGAGATTCTGCTATTGAGCTTGGCTTGTTGTCCCTTGTTGCGTTTTTGTTTAAGTTCTTCTACCAGCGTATGATGGAATATTAGAGTCTTTCGCACTTTACTGGTTACGTTCCCGTTCCCAAATTCGATTAGTTTTCGTTCGCGGCGAATCTTTTTCTGACAGCATCTTCTTAATTTCTTCTGATTTCAACCTGTTTAACCTCTTTTTATATTTTTCTACCAATCGTTCCTGTTGTTTTAATTCCTGTTCAACTTTATGTAGTTTTCTCACTGTTCTGGATCTATTTAAATGGTGTATCCTACGTCTACCACGATTTTTAGGAGGCCTTGGTGCAGGTCCAACTCCAAAAGCAAATTCTTGTGCAGGGGGCTCTAAATCAACTGGTGATGTTGGTGGTGAATTCAGTTGTATGTATTCCTCTATTCGTCGTGTTTCCCGTTTCTTGACCTGGTATCTTTGACTTGCTTTCTCCCATGCTTTGCGCTTTTGTCTCTTGGCTCTTTCAGACAGATCATCTATAGACTTCACCTTTCCAGTATTAGTTCTGCCAAGGGCATGATCCTGAAAAAGTGAAAGCTAGTAATATATTTTAAGTTTCTAATTCGGAATAAGTGGGACTAATAAATGTTTAATATTATGATTATTCAGAAAGAAATATCAACTCCGTAACAACATATCAACACCGTAACGAACTATAATTATTATCGTTGTTGCGGTGTTGAGCGTTACGGTGTTGAGAATTTTAACTTTAACGCCCAATTGAAGATAGTGTATCTCTTCGCGGGACTACTTTACGATCTAGGCTTCAACGTCTCTACATTAACATATCAAAAATGTACATTTCTTTACTATTTTTGAATTAGGAAAAGAGAATACCACGTGGCGGTGTTGAACACGAATAGAAATACGGTAGAAAATTTTGACATTTTATGGAACTTACCCAGAAGATAGTTACGTCCAACGATGACCGGTAAACGTGGTTCCAACGATCTCAAATTGGGTGTCGTGTGCAACGTTTTTTGAAGGAAATTGACCCAGTACTTGTGATACTACGCCATAAATACAGTCCCGTTACGGTGTTGAGGTTATTTTCAGGGACAAGTATAAAACATTAATTTTGTTCTAAAGTTTGAACAATAGACCAATATAAATGGAGGAATGTGATAGATACTTATAATATCTCACGCCAAATGCCAAAGCTGCAAATGTTTATGAATATTTCTGAATATACGCGTTACAAAACATTGGGCAATTGGAATCGTCACTTTTTGGGGGTGGGTGTCAGTTTTAAACTTCGTCCCTGAGCATTAAATTCGGCTGAAACAGTAAAATATGGCATTTGTTTAATTCAGGATGGGGTGTACTCAATATATCAAAAGTTAGTTTGTCCAGGAACAGAATAGCAGCGAATTTAGAGCCGTCGGGACAAATAAATGCTAAAATGTAACGTCAATGGTAAAATGACCCATATGCCATTATATTTTGCTGCAGAATCAAAAACGATGCGGACTTGGTTCTGTTTTCTTGGATGATAAACGCCAAATATTGGCAGGTACCAGCACTCCTCACTCTTCTGAAGTGGTGGCGCTACTTCTGCATGCCCATTCTGTAACATCTTGTTCATAAAGGCGATGAAATGATCCCTCTTCACTTTGTCTTTATGCAGGGATTTATCAAACATATTCGCCCTTTTTAACACCTGAATGTAGTTGTTTTGTAACCTAGGTCTTGGTTCCCTGAATGGAAGTGGGCATGACCATTTACTATCTACATCTTGGCGGAAACTTGCGTCCATGATTTGCAGAAAGGATCTGTCATCAACGGATAAACCTGGCTTATCATCATCCTTCTGCTTCAGGAATATGTTCTGGCCAAATGAATCCCATTCAGGAGTTTTAAACAACTGCATTCTGGCACAGTATACACTATCTAGTGTCTCTTTGCAACTTTATTACAAGGATCGAACATGGTTGTACGACCATTCTCCAGAACGTTAGTCTTGTTTACGTTGAACACCTCTGGTACATGAACACTCCCTAGGCAACTTTCACCAATTATAACCCATCCTATTGGCAGTTTCTGCGCATACGGAGTATTTGCTGGTCCAATACGATGATCCAAGACGTGATGAGCTTGAATGACATCACGACCAATCAGTAATATGATGTGGTCATTTTCATGTATTGGTGCAATGTGATGGGCAATATCATGTAGATGTGAATAACTCCGAATAATTCCTGTTGTCTGGCATTTGGTTACATTCAATGATCGTCGGAAGATCTAGTTGTACCGTTTGATCAAGAGATTCTAACACGATACCATTAATTTTTCTTCCTGCTGTTCTAACTTCTCCGGAACAGGAAGTGAGTACGTATTCAGTCTCTTCACATTTCACAGCAAGGAGATCGAATAAACGAGGACTGCCAAGGGTTCTGTTACTTTGATCGTCTATCATAACATATAGACGAATTACTTTGTCTGGTTTATCTGATGCGTATACATTACAAAGAAGTATCTTAGCACATGACTTTCTAGGGAGCTGTCCACAGATACGAGTACACAAAGAACTAACTTTCTTAAAACTCTCCCCGCCATGATTTGAAGTAGTTGTTGGCGGATCGACCGCAAGAGGGTCCGCATGGAGAGCCAGTGGGTGGTCATCACTATTACATTTTGGGCAATGTATAATTTTCCTATATTCACGTTGAACATGCAATATACAATCACAGCATCTGAAGCAGATCTTGTTATCCTTTAAGAATTTTAATCTTTCTTTCATGTTTTTTTTTTCTTAAGGCTCGACATTTATTCAGAGAATGATCCGTTTGATGCAAAGGACACTTCGAAGTAGTCTTTAATGAAGACGGCGGCTTTTGAACCTCTTCTGTGTCAGTTTTCTTCACGAGAAAATTACTCTTTTCTACATACTTCGGTTCCTTCTTGAGCTGAGGCACTTCATACGAAAAGCTAGGATTGTTCTGAATTCTGCTTTGTTCCCGGAGAAATTCTGCAAAATGACTAAAGGGAGGATAAACAACAGAAGTATGATTCTTTAAGTAGCTAACGGCTGTGGATGTTCATTTTTCCTGCAAATAATAAGGTAGCTAATTTATTATTGGGGTCACGCCAGTGGATGAATCATAATGGCCAAAGGTAGATTTCATCCTTTCATTATCCTTAATGGACTCTATTTCCGACGCAAGATCAGAGGGTTCATAAAGTTTCTTTGTGTCTTTGTTTGTAAGTTTGGGGAAACTAGAGAGTTTGTTTTTTTAAGGATTCTTCGATCATCTCTGGTGCTCCATACCTATCCTCCAATCGTTGCCAAATTCGTTGTAGACATTTAGCTTGGTTGTTTGCACTTGCTGTTCTTATACTCACAGCATGCTTAGAGGACTCAGACCCAAACCATTTAACAAGTAGGTCCACTTTCTCCGAATCAGTGACTTGCAGTTCATCCATAATATTAAGGAAGCTGAATTTCCAAGCAATATACGTTTCTGGGCGATCATTAAAGTTCGACAAGCGAGAAAAAAGTAAATCTTTCCGTAAAAGAAAACGTGTTATATACGACGTGGGGTCGTGAACTTCCGGAGTTAGTGGCTGATGCTGATCAGATGGATAAAACTCTGGGATATCGGCATGTAAGAATGCATTATTTTTGATGGTCTCTGAAGTGTGGGATGCAGCTTGTTGAGCCACAAATTTTTCTGTTCGCGTAACAGGATCTTCTACAACTTTTGAAAGACTATCATCAAAATCAGATATTCGGCAATTTTCATACTCATATACTCGAAGTTCAGCTTCTGCTGCCGCGGCTTCTTTCTGAGATATCAACATGTCAATGTCTGCTTGCATTTCAGTCTTTTTACGAGCAGTAGATTTATCTAGCATAGCTTGATTTTTCCGTAGCTCCGCCTCCAGCTTTTGCTCGAGCGGCTTCAGCTTTTGCACGTTTACGAGCCAAAGTACTTGAGGCACAAGATGTCCCTTT